ACCAACATCAGAGGCCTGTACTACGAAGCCGGATTTTCCTAACCTGGATATGTTTGAGTTAGCCGGTTGGCCCAATCCAAAACATACGCGCTCTCGCTAAACTGTACTACGACGCTGGTTATCAAGTGGATCGCTCAAGCCAGCCGTGTCCTATCTAGTTAGGTGCGCGTTCACATGAAAGGGGTGGTATTTGGAGCATTCGACCAATCTCAAACATGGACAAGCGTACTGACAGCGCAGCGTCATACTTCCTGAATGAAAAGTGAACTTTAATATTAGTCAAATATGAAGAAGTTAAACTTTAAACATCCATGACTTAAACACTTTATCCAGGATAAAAGCCACATAGCTGCACCTGCAAGGTGAATACAGCTGGTAAAAGAAAAAGCGTTTGAATGCGTACATTAACAGGTTTATGATATCACTGCCCCGTCCAAGACACGAGTGGATCTGACTTTAATTACATTTGACTCGAGTGTTTCGTCAACTTAATGTGTTGCTTAAAATAATACTTCTGCATAGCCTACAGTATGTGACACTGAGTGTTGCACGGCCAGATACGGCTCAAGAAGCTGACTCAAATAAGGAAATATATGATACATTATGATGTGATATGATATGAATGATAATGGGACACATCGACGTCTGCACTCACAGTGCCGCGGACTGTACGTAATGTTACTTTGATCCGTTTACTTATGTTGTGGCAGATATTTAAGTAAGCTTTCTTAACGCTAATGTTATAATAGTCAGATTGCTCTGAAGATGGGAGGGGATATTCTATTAATTTTCACGTTCACACAGTCAGTTGATTTTTGCCGGCCGTCTTTCCTGCAACGGCAGTTTTTCTGTATTTCCTCTATCCTGTAATATGACTTGATAGCTTTAAACTCCGCACACGGAGCTCTGATTGGTCAGCAGGCGGTGCTTTCACTGAGTTGATCTCTTAGCCTGCAACCTATCCTCCTCTCGAGGAGGTTAGCCACTCAGCATAAGTTACCATGGAGATCTAGCCCGCTAAAAAGAGAACCAGCGTCGTAGGACCGGAAAGCCCGAGTTTTCCCTGAAGTCAGCCGGCTAAGCGAAAATCCGGCTTCGTAGTACAGGCCTCTGATCTCTCCTTGTCTGGATTTTCTGCACCTTGACAAACATCAAAGTCCAACACACTCTCACTCCCAACGCGTCCAGGAGCGACGCTTGGTCAGGATCCCGTGGCGTCCAGTTGTGACGCACCGAGGCTCCTTCAGCGTCATGCAAAGAGCTTTCAACTGATTGCAATGTATTCCCATCGGCGGCGGTATTTGACGCTTAGGGAAGCACGGCATTCGTTTGTGTGGGCAGCTCTTAAAGGCAATGTGAGCGTCCATTCCCATTGGATAACGGAGAATTGTACACCCGGAAGTAAGTATTCTCCTTACTGTCGATTGATTTGACAGTGATATCTCCATTACTCATCAACTCAAAAACACCAGATTACCTTTGTAAATTAAACAACATTGATAGGTTTAAATTGTGTACAATGCTTTTGTGTTTTTCCCCTTCAATTCTGAGACAACTTGTTTTCTCTGAAATGTGGAGCGCCAAAGAGACTACACTACTAGGGCGGGCCATACTATTTTTTTTTTGTAAATCGATCGAGAGGGGTGTTCAAATTATGTATTTTGGCGTGTAGAACACAAATCTGAAGACATTTTTCAATTCTGATAAACCTAACCTACATCAATTTGCAGTTGATTATTATCTATTTTTTGATTATTTTGCTATTCTTCTGGAAAAAAGAGACTAAGTTGGGGGGCTTTTATTTAGAAGTCAGGGCTTTTATGTTCCTGTCTGAAGTGAAACTTACAGGAATTGAAACTTACTTGTGTATCAGTGTTTTCAGTGTGAACTAGTTGAAATGGCTCAAGTCAAAACAAGGGCAAAATCTACTTCTCATTTGAGTAATCTTGTTGGCACTGGGCGAGAGCTGTTGGTGTCTGAACTGCCAACTGTGAGGGATATCCTGAGGTATGGCATCTACTTGAGGGATCAAAGTAAAGATAACAGGAGGAACTGCCCAGTGGACCAGCTGGTGGGTGACATCTTCCCTGGTCTGATTGGTCAGTGGAGCAAAGCGAATGCTCTTTTCAAGCCACCTGTTATTAATGAAAAGGTGACCATCATGTCCAAGCTCAAGGAGGTCTGGAATCAAGCAGTGAAGTTTTCCCTTGGGAAGGGCAAACTTGATGCCAAAGAGAGGTTCAGTGTCAAGTTAGACTAATTATTTGATATTTTGACTTGCAAGTGTCGGATTACCAGTTGTGAGGGGGGAGGCTGTGATGGCTGTGTGATCCAAGCCCACATTCACTGTTCCTGCAGCAGAGACACAAGGATTCCTTTAAAAGATCTTGCATACATCAAGGGACAGAAAAAGAGGGTTGGAAGTAAAGGACCCCACCAAATGGGGGAAGGCAGGGGATGGAAAACATGGCTGAGGAAAGGAGAAGGAGCAAGGAGGAAAATGCTGCAGCAGCAGACAATGCAACCAGGAAGGATGTTAAGAGATTTTTGGCAGATGGTGATGAGGATCTGGAATTGGAGAGTGGTGCTGAAGATGAGTTTGTCCCTGAAGTTGAGCTCTTCCCTGAAACTGAACCTGAGCCTACAGCTTCAACAAAAGTACAGAAAAACTATGATGATATTCCAAATATTGCACTTGCTAGTGTAAGGTATGGCATAGGGCTGAGACCAACTGCAGCTCTGATTGGTGCAGGAATCATCACAGAAGACAACACAAGTAAAGTGATTGATAAAAACAAGGTCAAGAGAGCACAGGAAAAGTTGATGAGAGAGCTGGGAGAAGAGTTTGAGGAGAAGTGCAGGGAGATGGGGGGATCTCCTGCATCCTCTTTGATGGGCGGATTGACCTGACAAATGTGATGATGGAAGCTGAGGGCAGTGACCAATCTTTTCCTGCAAAGATCAAAGAAGAACACTATAGTGTCGCTAGTGAGCCTAGTCACATCCTGTTTCAGCTGGACTGCCTCAAGTCCCAGAGGAAGGAGGTGCTGGACCTTGTGATGCCAACTGTGAGAAGATCCTCCAAACACTGCTGTGCTCTGAGGATCAGAAGGAGATAATTGAGGGGGTGATCCTGGCCATTAGGGGAGAGGGGGACCCAGACACTCAGCTGGGGGACTCCTCTGTCAGGACCAGAAGGACACCTGACATCAATTGTGATGCTTCCAGCATTGGGGACTTGATCAGCTGGTCAGAAGGTGTGTCAGAGCCACCTCTCACCTGCTTGCTAAGCACCTCGGAGGTGAAAAACGTCATCAAAACCCCCATGGAGGTACTCAACTGGCCTTGCCATACTCAAAGCATTGAGAGGGTTGTTAAAATGGTGACCGAGGCTTCTGCTAAGTACTTCTCACAGGAAAAGAGGGATGGAGGGATCAGAGCTCAGGAGACCAGCAGGAGACTGATGTCCAAGAATGAGTCAAAGCAGGACTTGTGCAACCTGGCAAAGTTCAAGAAGTCAGAAGATTGATCTTTGAAATCGTATCCAGTTATATATATGCAGTTCACCTGTTAATAAATATGTAAAAAGGATTTGGCTTTGTCAATATAAATGATTTCCCTTATATCTTTTACTATCTTAAATAGAGGTTCGAAAGGGTAAAATTGCCGATTTCGAAATACAAAACGATGTAGGTTAGAGTTATCCTATCCAAAGAATAAGCTCATATTTGAATTCCCCATAAAAAAACACATAATTTAGACACCCCTCATGTTAGGATTTCCTTCAGATTCATGTTGGCACCTGAGTATGACCCGCCCTACTACACTACCCACAATCCCCAGCTATTGTTGTGATGACTTCTGTCCGCTTTGCGATTACATTACCCACAATCCTCAGGTACCGTCGTAAAGACGGCATACCTTTGCACTTTACGTGACCAAACCTGGATGAGAGAGTCGCAGTTCTTCAGAATCAAGGTACAGTAAGAGCATGGGTAACACGTAGTTATAGGAAATACGATAAACATAGCCACGAATAATAATAATAATAATCTAATCGGCGCCAATGTTGTTTCTGGCACCTTTCTGAGGGGTATAGTAACTAAATAATATAGGGTATTACCTAAATATAACAAATGAACTCGCCTGAGCTAGCTTGCTAGCTAGCTAGCTAGCTAGAAAACGCACTGCAATTTCTCCATAGGATCTTGGAAAATAGCTCGAAATAAGGTCTGTGGTTGACACACATTTAAGAGACGGATCACGTTTTGTTCAGCCGGATAATCTCCACATGTCTACTCTGCTTTTATAATTTTCGAATCGTAAATCTATTAATAATACTTTGTATACATGTGTTTTTAGTATTAATAGTAATAATACTTTTATAATTTTTGTACAAATTACTTATTTAAATGACTGGTGGCAGTGATTTTGCTGTGCGATGGTGTGAAAATACCTTTAATGACAACAGTAGTAAGCATTAATTGGTTATTAGCCAAGTAGAACAGTTGTAAACAACAACAATTACACTGGCATTGTTTGTTTATTTTTGAGTTTCTAAATTATGTTGTTTTCTCTCAACAGATCCCGCAATTTGTTCTCCAAAAAACAACCCTTTGTTTTTCCAAACTCCAAACAACCCAAAGGCACTTTTAAGAGCCAAGTCTGTCTTGTTAAACTGTCCTTGCTGTGTTGTACTTGATAGTCTCTTCCTATCTCTCTATTTCTTTCTCTGTCTAACTCTGTTGTCAGTCTTTCTTCTGTGTCTCTGTCTGTGTCCCTTCACTATAATGAGTGATTCTGATCTTGAGGATCTCCTGAGAAGCGCAGATGAGCTGGTTGAGCAGAAAGAGTTCAGGGATGACCTACGGAGTGCTGATGATTTGCTTTGTAAAGTGGAAGCAGCAACAGCAGCAGCAGCAACAGCAGTGTCAATGAAGTGCTGGAAGAAGAGAGACAGTGAGGGAAACTTGATCTTTGCAAGACCACGTTCAACATGTCTCCAATCAGGGTCAGTATAAGATATATATTTCTAGGCACTTGAGTATATGAAATGAATGAAAACATAACTCTTGTTAAGGGAAAAGTAGTACAATTTAATGGTATAAAATAAATGTTTTTTCTGATACAGCTGGCTGCAGTCGTAACACTGATCCCCCCGTTGATGCTCCTGACCCTGACTGTGATCTGGTCTTTGCTCCAGCTATCGCTCCAGAGACTGTTGGTATGTACTTCATTTGGTCTGGTTAGGCCGAAACACATATTCATACTTGTATCTTTATGTGATACGTACTTCATTTCTAAACTTCATCATTTGCTAGAATTAAGAACACAGTAGTTACAGCTTTCAAAACCACTCCATCCAGTATGTTTTAAAGAAAACTAATCATTGTGCTTTGGACTTTATTGTACCATTTTAACAGAGGGGTTTCTACGAGATCTCCAGCAGTCTCTGAGCGATACTACAGGAGATGAGGTGGTAGCACAAACCCCAAGTGGCATCGACCAACTGGAGCACTCGAAAAAGTTTTTTTTCAGAGAGCTGGAGGGCAGCGAGACCACATCTGGTTAACACCGTAGTGGCCCAAGCAAATGTGGGAACACACATTTGCCAACAGTGTTGGAGCAAAACGTCTGTTGTCCGGTGCCGGGATTGTCGACCACATCCCTTCTTCTGTGCTGACTGTGATGTCAGCATGCACACCAGACACCCCCTCCACAACAGAGATGCTACTACTGCAGGTTACTTCCAGCCATTGGCCCCAACAACACATGTACTAAATATGGCCCTTTGCTCCTGTGGTAAGTTCTGGTTTGTGAATGTACATTTTCTTGCTGGACTTGTTGAGAACTTCATTTTGAAAATGTGAGCTTCCTCAACATCTCTGTGTTAATTCCCAGCAGTGTGCTTAAGTCTCTTTTTAATGTTCTGATGTAAAGTTAAATCCTAAATATGTCACATAACAATGTTGTATTTCTCAAAAGAGACAAATTATTTTTAATTCCCATTTGAATTTTTTTCCAGTGCGGTTTGTACCTTTGGAGATCCCGGACAAAATCTGTGGTTGTGCATCAGAGTCATTGAGCCTCAAGCCAGGAAAGACTGTGACTGTGATCACAATGAATGGTAAGAATGGGAAGAATGTTTGTCTTGTTTCTTAAGATAGATGTTATTGAAGTTTCTTCTTGATAATATCCAACCCTTCTCAAAGACCCGCACATGTGAGATAGCTTGTCTATTAAACCTTAACATGGGTATTGAGTAAAGAATACCAAATGTATTAAAAACACCTTGTCTGTTTTTCAAGGACGACATGAGCTAAGCATGCCAGAGTTGGCTTGTGAAGCATGCGCTGCGACATGGACGACTGGGGTTGACGACCTTCTTCGGAGTGACTACTAGCCAGCTACCCTTCACTTCGCCACCATTTATGCCACAGATGTTTTCTTCTCATTTGAAGAAATGAAAATGGCTGCACCTGGACTATCCTTTCAGGCATATTTAAGGATGCTAGATCAGCGAACGTTGTGCTTCGGCCGTGTGAGTATTGAAGTTACTTGTCCTTTTTGATCTATTTGTATTGTACAAATTGTAAGCTGTGTCCTTATAATTTATAATTTATTTTTGACATAATTATCTGTTGATGTCCTTATTTTGTTATAGACTGGGAAGATCTCAACTGACAGCTTCATCAAAAGTTTCTTTGAGTGGGAGGCTGTGCGTTATGAGGTGGACATCATGTGCAAGGAGGAGCCCTTCACCTGTCCTGCGTGTAGCCCTGATATGCTTGCAGTTTCCGTGGATGGAAACCGCAAGCATTACCGTTTCAAGAATGCAGCTAGGTACTATAGAAAATATATAATGTCACAGTATTTGAACAAATAACGAAACAAAAGTATCTTGATGTGAACCAATCAACCTTATAATCTGAGATGTCATACATTGCTCCTTTGATTTATTTATATCTGAGGAACAGGCCATCTTTGACGGTGTCTTTATAGCCAGGGATGAAGACGTCTCAAGATTTGTGGACTATATACACACCACAACCAAACAATGTAATATTGCAGACTCTAATTATGTATAATATAATATAACATCCTAATGAAGGGTTTGGTTAGGTTAGTCTTTGCACCATTTTCATCAATACATTTTTATATATTAGGTCTCCGGAAGAGGTGTTTGTGGAGGACAGTGGTCGGCAGCCAGAGAGACCTCCCAAAAATCAGCCGGCAAGCTGGATGAGGAGGGACTAGAGCTTGCCGTCTGTCGACATGGAGTGCTCCTCTGTGCTCTCAATATGTACAGGGGAGACATCTTTGCTTATCCCCTGTACCTACAGAAAAAGCTGGCCAGTAGTATGTTCTTTTGCATGAATGTGACCTGCAAATATTGGCCCTACCTCCAGAGAATCACAAAAAGCTGTCCAGAGCTCCAGCATCTTCTCGACATGAAGCCCTTTCTCTCAGTGTTTCATGCCAAAGCGCATGACTTCAAATGTGAAGTAAGGAATTGTTACCATGTGACACAATCACTTTATGTAAAAACCTCCTTGTGAATAGTGACAAGTTGTAACGAGTCGTACTTTTGAATATATTTTAAACAGGTGAAATGGAGTGGGGCATATCAAGAGGGGGCTGGACTAACCCTAGGGGAGGAGGTGGAACAGGTCAATGCCTTCCTCTCTCGGATAGCAGTGACCACAAAACACATGTCAAAAGCAGGTGAGTTACGATAGAACCTTTACTGTCAGTTTTCAAAAAATGTTCAGAAAGGCACAGATTACACTAACAAATTACACCAACAAGGTTCGATTTGCACTATACTATATACTATACAATACATTTCTTTAAATGATTGTTTGGAAGACTTATTACCTAATTATTAAAATGGTGTTATTTATTTTTAGAATGCAGGAAACACAGGACCCAGAAGGTGTTCCTGTATGAGAGCATTGTGGACAGAAGAGTTTTTAATGTAAGTGTGTTATAATTTCTTCCTTTTTGTTTTTCTTGTTAAATAACATAACAACGTACAGAACATTATTGGTACCGTCTACAGACCATCAGTGAGATATCTGCACAGAGCCCAAACGATACTAACATATAACCGCCTCTGAATCCAGAGATACACAAGTATCCACTATCGTACAAGTATGGAGCGGTGAGGTTCCTCAATCCATCCTCAACACTGCACCTTTTTTTGTCATTGTAAGCATTACAGGACTACGTTTTGCATTACCTTATAACCTTGTGTTGTAGGAAACTCCCAGTCTTAAAGAAGCTGCTCCATACTGGTACGATAGTGGATTCTTCTGTATCTCTGGTTTCAGATGCTGTTGTCTGTTAGTATTGTTTATGTGTAGAAATCTAACCTTATTGATGGTCTATAAATGGTACAAATAATGTTCTGTAAAGTTGTATCACCTAACTTTGTAAAGTATCTCTCATTAATATTTCTGTCCATTTCATGTCATGCCTTTCAGCAAAGAGAAGAAGTGAAAATTCGCTGGACACCATGCTCCGAGTGGTAAGTTTTTCCTTAATGACCATACATGTATGTGTTGTACTGGAAGCAAAGGGTTTATACACTGATACAGTAGGCTCATCTCAATTGAATACTTTTGTATTGTATGTTGTTATGTAATTTGTCCTACAGAAGAGAGACACAAATCACTAACATATGTATTAGTTATGCTACCCGTATTTGTATATATCCTAAATGTTTGACGTGCTGTGGGTCTACCACACATGCATTACAAACCACAAGTAAGAACTGTACGTTATTATTTTATAATCAAAACATTATTATAGAATTTGTAAGTATATTTCACACACTTTAATGTTTTTATAGAGTTCGATCTCCTGATTCGTTTAAGAGATTTAATATATTTTACTCTTAATGAAGCACTTTAAACATTTAATGACTCTGATCCTCCTTTAACGGTAAGATCAGCTGCAGTGAGCAGAGGCTGTGCAGCTGGGGGTGGAGCTCTAGTGTGCTCTCGTGTATCCTACCTTTCGTCTCCTCTGGAAGCCTCCTCCCTCACCCCTCCTCGACTCCTCCGTTTGCATTGAAGCGATTGTGACGTCCTTCAACATGGCGTGTCTTGATTGATTTCCGGGTCAAGTCCCGGAGGAGGGGGAGAGAGGAGTCGAAGAGGGACATTGAGCTGAACCTAATGTTTCAAATCCTATTTTAAATTGACTTACTTGCCTGATTAAGCATCAGAAATATATATAGCATGACATATTAATAATTATTCAACTGTTCTTTATGTGTGTTTTGCAGTGGCAAGGACTGGGAGGACACATGGGAGCCTGCCCAACACTATAGCAGCTCAAAATGATAACACACACATACACACACAAACACACACACACAAACACACACACACACAGACACACACACACACACACATACACACACACACAGACACACACACACACACACACACACACACACACACACACACACACACACACACACACACACACACACACACACACACACACACACACACACACACACACACAATACGTTTTTTCAATAAATTGTTTCAATAAATTGTTGTTTCTGTTGTGTATTTTTTGGACAATTATTTAATAGGGTAAAGCCTTTTAAAATGTTTGGTATGTTAATGCAAATGTGACAATCATTATTTTCGGGCTGCCTCAGTCTTAAAACACAAGATAGATATCAATTTTTGTTATGGTCTTCTGTATATGCCATATGAATAATACTGGTACAATTTGAATTTGCCCCAAAACGTGGAAATGCAGACCAGATCTTCTAAATGCCAGGGACCGGAACATCACGAGCATCTCTAAAAGACGATATGTGACAGTCCTGCAGCAACGGACCATATGAGAAACATTATGTTAAAACCTAGAAACTTATTCTAAACCTACTATCAAAGTATTCACCTGAAATGTAGCACAATTTGGCTCCTGTTAAAAGCACTATTTGAAAATGTAGATTTGTCAGGTCAACATGTGACTTATCTGGTTTGCTATAACAGTTTTACTCCACAGTTGAACTGTATTTGACAATCATTAAATTCACAAACATAATTTGGGAAATAAATCAAAGACAATAGTGTAAATAAGAAAGGTTTAGTTTTTGAAACTTGTAATGGGGACGTTGATACATTAACTGTCAGCAAGTACATTTCAGTCATATTTAGAAGATAGGAAAAAAAGTGAATAAGTATTCTCTCTAATGTCGATTGATTTTACAGTGATATTTGCATTACTCAACTCAAAAACACATGATTACACAACATTGATTGGTTTAAATTGTGTACAATGATTTTGTGTTTTTTCCCCTTCGATTCGGAGATATTTTTTTCTGAGTTTAGGATGGCAGAAGACACTACACTACCCATAATCCTCAGCTATAATACACAGCAACATGTAAAACATGCAATTTATTGTTACTTTGTAATTCTACTCCACCACAATTCAGAGGTTAACCTGGTATTTTTAGTCCACCACATTTATTTTAGTTACTTTGCAGATTCTGATTAATGATGTGAAATATAAACAACCCTTAAATCAGACTTTAGTTACACCTGAGTAAAATTCAGTGAAGGTGATTGCCAAGTGCAAACAATCAGGCGAGATATTTGATAGTTGGTGCTTGAGAAGACTAAATATTTATCTCCAGATCCCTATAAAGCATATTCATTACTCGTTATTCTCTAATCGTTCATTAAAGACTGTATGAAATGGCTATTTGGCACATCCCTTTCAAGATGTTCTAAGGTTTATTGACATATCATATACACAACTACGGTGTAGTTATGCAATGAATGAAAAACTTCGCAGGTTCGTCAACAGTGCATTACAAGAGATCTATCAATATGTGTGTACCTCCACCATAAACAGTCATATTCTGCACATTTCTTATACTATCTACATACATCTTATAAGAGTATAATTAATATGTAATATCAGTTAAAATAAGTGCTTAAACGTAGTTAACATTGCAGGAAAGTTGATTGTCAAGTCCCAAAACAAATTATGCAATATATTAGACTTTAAGTACTTTGTCAGGCTTAATATTTATCTGTAGATTTACCAAAGCTTTTTGCTTACATGTATTTAAAAGAAGACATTAACTTAAAGTATTATTTAATGTTTTAATAAAGCCTGATTAGTTTGTCTGATTTGCACATCCTCCTATTAATATCTGTGTACATCCGGCACTAAACTTTTATTGTAGAGATCACTTACAGTAGCCTATCTTCTTGATATTTTCTATTCTATATTTCTATTCTATATTTCTATTCTATATTTCTATCATTGACCTTCTACTTTCCCCCTATTTGTATGTACTCTTAATATTTAAATGTTTTCATCAAATGTAACCCATTCAACAAAACATGCAGCAGAGATTAGCAACACAACCTTACCGGCATTGCAATGACTGTAAACGTGTAATAACGTGCTTTAACCATTAGGTGAATAATACAGACGTATAAAGTACACATGGTATACAATGCTATCAAAAACACATTATGTTAATTTACATATCTAACTACCATTATCAAGCTAAATATGGACTATATGATGCTTATGCATTGTACCAGGTGTAGGCTAAGTATGTAGGCTAAGTCAAAAACAGGCAACTGATGAGGTGTTTGAAAGGTAATTTATGAGGATCAAACAAATGAGGTACACAGAATACAATGCCATTTTATCTGTTTTATTATTAGTGTAGGACAGATATGTATATATAACACCTGAAGATGTTTTATTCATGTTAGTCATTACTTTTAATACTAGTTGAACATTACATTTTTACATTTGTATGTTTAAAAAAAATATATGTTTCTAGTTATTGTGCTTTTTATCATGTTTTTAATTATTGTTTTATTATTGTACTCCCATTGTGTTATTTAATATTGTAGTTATTGCTTGTACAGCACTTTGGTCAACTGAAGGTTGTTTTAAATGTGATATATACAGGATATAGCTATATTATTGCACATATTTTAAAACATCAGACAAAAAGGTTTATCCGCCCCCTCATGGTGCTAATCAGTATGTGTGTTTGCTAAACAGAGATACAAACAGAACATGAGTGAACAGTCAAAACAATTTTTATCAACTTTTTTGTTATGAGACCATGTTTACATAGTGTTTCAGAGTAGACATGTAATAACATCTGAATAAAATGAAATTATAGAAAATGCCTTCAACAGCATATCAACAACCTGAAGAATAACTTACTGGACATACATATTAAGACATTAAGAAATGTGTCATTTTTTTTTGTCGGAGGACCGCAGTTGACGAGAGGGGGTGTAGGGCTGAAGGAGGTCAGAGATGTATGCAGGGGCTAGGGAGTGGAGAGATGTGTAGGTTAGCAGGAGGAGTTTGTACTGGATGCATGACTTGACCGGGAGCCAGTGAAGGTGGAGGAGGGTGGGGGTGATGTGTTGCCAGGGCTTAGTGCGGGTGAGGAGCCTGGCTGCAGAGTTCTGCCTGTCCAGGGCTTTGTAGGTGACCCCGAACAGAACTCCATTGCAGTAGTCCAGGCGTGAGGAGATGAAGGTATGTATTAATGTTTCTGCAACGGGGTCGGGGAGAGAGGGCCGGAGTCTGGAGATGTTTCGAAGGTGAAAAAAAGCAGTTTTGACAGTAGACCTGATGTGGAAGTTGAAGGTGAGGCTAGAGTCCAGAGTGACGCCCAGGCTGGATGGAACAGCCTTCGACGGTGAGGAGGAGATCTCCGACCTTCCGTAGCAGTGTTTTTGGGGCCACAACCATGAGCTCTGTTTTGTTTTTGTTGAGTTTCAGTAGGTTTGTTGACATCCAGGTTTGGATGTTGCGGAGGCAGTTGACTAGTGACAGTGGGGGTAGCTGGGATGATGGATTGGTACTGATGTAGAGTTGGGTGTCGTCGGCATAGGAGTGGAAGTTGAGACCATGTTGGCGGAGTATTTCACAGAGGGGGAGCATGTAGATGTTAAATAGAAGGTAGTCTGGAGGGGGCTTCACCGTGTGTCATCAGAGCTGTCAGAGTCGCAGTCAGAAGACTCATCTGAAAGACTTTGCAAGAAGCTGATGGTCTCTGCTCCAGTCAAAAGCTGCAGATAGCATCGTCTAGCATGAGTCTTAATTTCTCCGATGTCGTGCTGCTTTTTCCTAAACATGCTCTGGAGACCTTTCATCCCGTCTTCGCTCGGGTCCAATGGTGAATCTTAAATGTATAAGATAAAGACAATATTAGTTACTTCATCACCTATCACTGATGTGTAAAGTCATGCAAAGTAAAAATGTAATATATACTGTACTTTGCAGGCAGGACATCTCTTTCAGGGAATCACTGCGGGTTGAAAGGACCTTCCAGCAGAGGTGGGGACTCGAGTCACATGACTTGACTCGAGTCAGACTCGAGTCGCATATTGTTTGACTTGAGACTTGCTTGACTAACATTGATAAAAGACTTGACTTGACTTTGACTTGGTATTCATGACTTGAGACTTGACTTAAGCTTGAGACAGATGACTTGAAAGGACTTGACTGTTTACAATTAAATATTTGCGTTTGTTTTTGTAGTGAGATATTACGTTTAGTTTTTTCGAAAATGTGATTGGGTGATTATAGTGCCGTGCGCGCAAACCTGGCAACCCACTAGACGGCAGGTAGCAGCGTCAGTTAACATGGCAGCGGCTAGCGTTACTCCACAAATAGTGAAGTTTGGATTCAAGGATTATGTTGTCGATGACGCTAATAAGAAGAGAACAGCGGTTTGCAGGGTCTGCAGCATAAAGATCAGTGACACGACCACCACAACATCCAACTTCATTCGTCACTACAAAAAAACCCAGAGAAAGGTGCGTGAATGTGTTGTGTTAGCTAGAAAGCTAACGTTAAGTTTAAGCTACGTTAGACTTGGTTTCAAATCGATTAAGTATTGCAAAGAGAAGACAAAACGGTAAATGAACACTAGAACCTCCAAGGGATTCATTTTGACTAACCCTGATACTGACGGGCTGTCAGGAGAGGGAGAGAGAGAGAGAGAGGAAAAGAGATGCCTCGTTTATTTCCCCTGTGTTATTATCAGAAGTTACTGTAAACTGTTGAATAATGTAGTTCATCTACTTTTAGTAGTTTGTTTAAATGTTTTAATTATGTTGTTTTTGTTTGTAGAAGTTCCTTGATTTATTGTAAAATGAATCTGAACTTTTTAATCTGTTATGATGATAAACTGAAGCAATTTCTAAATTAACCCAATTAAGTGAGTTTTAAATCGTCCTACTTAGTTTATAAGGAAATGATGAAGAGGAATAAATGAAATGATTTGAAAATGATATCTATGAAGGTGCTGACGCTGTTGGCGGTTCTAGTGTTAACAGACATTTAAATTAAATATGTGTAATGGCAAATGCCATATATGATTTTCTTACCTGGAATCCTGCCTTTTTGAACAGACGTTTTGATTGAGTCCTAGCTATATTGTCTGCAGTTCTGGGGTTAATATTAATCTAATATGATTGTCATCGGTCTAAATTAGATTTCAAATGATTAACTGTGTATGTAATGAAGATCATAGTGTGGGTTAAATCCATTTTCATAACCACTGTCTTTTAACTGATTTAAATGCGGAAACTGGGCTTATTCATCAGAATTTTGTATGACTTGACTTGACTTGCTTGACCTGAGCAATGACTTGACTTGACTTGCTTGACTCTCACCACAGTGACTTGGGACTTGCTTGATACTTGTAGGTCAAGACTTGAGACTTGCTCATGACTTGCACATGTAGGACTTACTCCCACCTCTGCCTTCCAGTGGTGGTTCATTTCTGTGACGAGAATCTTCTTCTCCTCCTGTAGTCTCTTCACTGCCATGACAAGGTCGAATGCTCTTCTCTTTGTCCTGAGGTCGAAAGAGTCTGGAAAGCATTTATGACAAAACATGAATTCATGTGTATGAAAGATCAACATTCAAAGAATCTATGAAGTCTTAAATAGATTTATATATCAGACATGAAGGTTTTCCACATTTGCTGTGAGCATTTAGCAGACTAGTGTACTTACCACTGTTTGGTAGCTGCCATGGCCAAGCTTTCTCCACAGACAGAATGGCTTCGAGGCACAGCGCTTCTGTGCTTGGAACCATTGAGTTGTATTTCTCAACTGTGGCTGTCAGGACCCCTTTCTCATCCCTGATCTTGCGGCGGATCCGGGAACGACCTTTGTTGCTGTCTGTGTCTTTGTAGAGACGCCGCGAACGTCTCTTGACACTTACTGTCAGCATTTCGATCTTGCTGGCCAAGGCAGCAGCATCCCTTGGGTTGTTTGTTGTTGCTTTTTAGAGGAAATAGGTGTATTAAGCACAGTAATTCACAATAACAGTGACATTTGATCAAATGTTTTAATATTATTTTATTACATATGCTTCATGAAAAATAAGTAATGCAAATGTCAATAGAGGGTTATCACTAATTCTGAAAATTAAAAATAAATTCATAAATCATGACTGCAAAAAAGTTGAAAAACGTCATTAAGATTGTCCTCACTTTCTGCCCACTCATTCACATCTCTGACCCAGTCTTCCAGCTGCTTTTCAGTCACTGCCAACTCAGCCTTCATGGACTCCAGGTTCTGCAATTGCTTTTCCAGAGCTTTTGTGGTCTACAAACGTCAAACAATTAAAGACAAGTAAATACAGAAATCTACATTTAGGCTGCAGCCACAAATAATTCTTCTAAAACTATGTTATTACCTTCAGATATCTGCGGGACAGTGAGGTGGCCAAGTTGCTGACTTTTTGCTGATTCCAGCGCATGGCCATCAGCGTCAGCATGTCTGTACGTCCTGCAAAAGAGAATATCACATTATTACTATTCCTCTTACTTCTTATACTGTAACTGGGGTTTATACTATATTGCCATCCTAAATGGTGTGCTATGGTCATAACCGTCAATGAGCTTTTATGAGTTTGTGTTGTTGGTGTAATTTGTTAGTGTAATCTGTGCCTTTCTGAAATTTTTTTGAAAACTGACAGTAAAGGTTCTATCGTAACTCACCTGCTTTTGACATGTGTTTTGTGGTCACTGCTATCCGAGAGAGGAAGGCATTGACCTGTTCCACCTCCTCCCCTAGGGTTAGTCCAGCCCCCTCTTGATATGCCCCACTCCATTTCACCTGTTTAAAATATATTCAAAAGTACGACTCGTTACAACTTGTCACTATTCACAAGGAGGTTTTTACATAAAGTGATTGTGTCACATGGTAACAATTCCTTACTTCACATTTGAAGTCATGCGCTTTGGCATGAAACACTGAGAGAAAGGGCTTCATGTCGAGAAGATGCTGGAGCTCTGGACAGCTTTTTGTGATTCTCTGGAGGTAGGGCCAATATTTGCAGGTCACATTCATGCAAAAGAACATACTACTGGCCAGCTTTTTCTGTAGGTACAGGGGATAAGCAAAGATGTCTCCCCTGTACATATTGAGAGCACAGAGGAGCACTCCATGTCGACAGACGGCAAGCTCTAGTCCCTCCTCATCCAGCTTGCCGGCTGATTTTTGGGAGGTCTCTCTGGCTGCCGACCACTGTCCTCCACAAACACCTCTTCCGGAGACCTAATATATAAAAATGTATTGATGAAAATGGTGCAAAGACTAACCTAACCAAACCCTTCATTAGGATGTTATATTATATTATACATAATTAGAGTCTGCAATATTACATTGTTTGGTTGTGGTGTGTATATAGTCCACAAATCTTGAGACGTCTTCATCCCTGGCTATAAAGACACCGTCAAAGATGGCCTGTTCCTCAGATATAAATAAATCAAAGGAGCAATGTATGACATCTCAGATTATAAGGTTGATTGGTTCACATCAAGATACTTTTGTTTCGTTATTTGTTCAAATACTGTGACATTATATATTTTCTATAGTACCTAGCTGCATTCTTGAAACGGTAATGCTTGCGGTTTCCATCCACGGAAACTGCAAGCATATCAGGGCTACACGCAGGACAGGTGAAGGGCTCCTCCTTGCACATGATGTCCACCTCATAACGTAAAATAAGTAATTTGTACAAAAATTATAAAAGTATTATTACTATTAATACTAAAAACACATGTATACAAAGTATTATTAATAGATTTACGATTCGAAAATTATAAAAGCAGAGTAGACATGTGGAGATTATCCGGCTGAACAAAACGTGATCCGTCTCTTAAATGTGTGTCAACCACAGACCTTATTTCGAGCTATTTTCCAAGATCCTATGGAGAAATTGCAGTGCGTTTTCTAGCTAGCTAGCTAGCTAGCAAGCTAGCTCAGGCGAGTTCATTTGTTATATTTAGGTATACCCTATATTATTTAGTTACTATACCCCTCAGAAAGGTGCCAGAAACAACATTGGCGCCGATTAGATTATTATTATTATTATTCGTGGCTAAGTTTATTGTATTTCCTATAACTACGTGTTACCCATGCTCTTACTGTACCTTGATTCTGAAGAACTGCGACTCTCTCATCCAGGTTTGGTCACGTAAAGTGCAAAGGTATGCCGTCTTTACGACGGTACCTGAGGATTGTGGGTAATGTAATCGCAAAGCGGACAGAAGTCATCACAACAATAGCTGGGGATTGTGGGTAGTGTAGTCTCTTTGGCGCTCCACATTTCAGAGAAAACAAGTTGTCTCAGAATTGAAGGGGAAAAACACAAAAGCATTGTACACAATTTAAACATATCAATGTCGTTTCATTAACAAAGGTAATCTGGTGTTTTTGAGTTGATGAGTAATGGAGATATCACTGTCAAATCAATCGACAGTAAGGAGAATACTTACTTCCGGGTGTACAATTCTCCGTTATCCAATGGGAATGGACGCTCACATTGCCTTTAAGAGCTGCCGACACAAACGAATGCCGTGCTTCCCTAAGCGTCAAATACCGCCGCCAATGGGAATACATTGCAATCAGTTGAAAGCTCTTTGCATCCGTTTATGACGCTGAAGGAGCCTCGGCGAGTCACAACTGGATGCCACGGGATCCTGACCAAGCGTCGCTCCTGGACGCGTTGGGAGTGAGAGTGTGTTGTAAAGTCATAAAGATAGCCACTTTGTCCAGCACGTCCCCACATCTTGAACCCCCATTTGTGAGGCTTTGCTGGCATATAAACACGAAGATGAGAATTTCCCTTGAACGGCACCATCATTTCATCAACTGCATGACATTCTTCAGGAGGTATGCATAGGAATTGTTCGCGTAGTTTTTTTAACCATGGCCTGAGTTTCCAGAGTTTGTCTTTCTTTGCATCATCAGACACATTAAAGTTGTCCTGAAAGAGAATCAGTGTCAGAAATGTGAGAAATCGATCTCGAGACATCACATCACAAACTGCATGGTACTTTGTTTCCATCTCCCAATAGGCTCGTACATTGGGCTTCTGTACTAACCCCATGTGCATGTACATACCCAGAACCTGCTCAATTTCTTTGGCAGTTGTGTTGACTGACTTTCCCTGCTTCTGTACACTATACAAGTTTGTTTGTTCTACTATTTCCTGTAGCATTTCATCTGTAACAAACTGTTTGAAATACATGTATGGTGTCCAGTCACACCTGTCTTCTGAGGCTTCCTCAACACATTCATCAAATTCAACAGCTGGAGGATCATATTGTACATTTCTCCACCTGTATTCTTTCCTTTTCCCTTTGCCTCGTGCTGACTGCTTTGTTGTTGTTGTTGTTGGGCCCTCTACTTCTTTCCTCAACTCTGTGCTCATCTGGTCAACACTTTCCTCCTCTTCACTATCACTATCTGAGCTTCTCTCAGTAAGCTTTGCGTTACCCCTAGATTCCACCGGGTCCGTCTGCGCCGCGTTACGGCTGTGCCGCGGTTTTGGTCCGGCCTCCTCCGGCGTCATACCCTACCAGGCGCGTTTCAGAAGCATTGCAGAAGCGGAGCGTCTTGCCTGCCGGCTCGCAGTTTTTGTTGATTTGGGCATATTTCCTGGACAGGCTACTTTGTACAGAAAAAGTTAATAATAACTGTAATATTCCAGTTATAAACGACATGAATCAAAGATGTGTTGCTGTATTTTAGTGGTAAAAAAAAGCATTCATCATCATAATTATTCTATATATATAATTTACACAGTGCCTGTAAACCGGAGGAGAACGCTGGCATTTCTCCTCCTACTTGAAAGACTACGGAGGGATAGGGTCTGCAAAATTAGTTTGTGTGTGTGTATATATATATATATATATATATATATATATATATATATGCTATATATGTTCTGAACGTTCCACTTCCTGCCTGCCCGACCTTACGTTACGGCTGCGCCGCGCCAAAAATAGGATTCATCCTAATTTTAGAGGAGCCCTGCGCCGAGACGCTTCTGGGACGCTTCTGAGCCGTAATGCGCCGCGTGTGGTGGAATAGCACCCATTGACTAGAGTGGCCGCGATCGCCGTGAGCACCGCGGCGCAGCCGTAACGCGCCGCAGACGGACCCGGTGGAATCTAGGGGTTAGGAGTCCAGTCCTCATCATCATCATCATCATCATCATCATCCTCATCTTCTCCTAACTGCTCCATGTCACTTGAATTTCCATCCATAATCATGCTGATGGCATCAGCAACAGAGTATTTCTTTGCCATCTAAAAGTAAATGCAAACAGAAATTATGTTGTACTCTCTGACTTCGTCAATATAACATAGATTATGATAGCCAAGGAATTGTTGTCACGGCTTGAACAGTCCACTGGCATCACAGGCTCTGCCCTTGCATGGTTCAGGTCCTACCTGACAGACCGTAGCTTCTCAGTGCAGCTTTGGTGCCTTCTCCTCTGCCAAAGCCCCTCTTACCTGTGGGGTTCCCCAAGGCTCGATTCTGGGCCCCATCCTTTTTCTACTGTACATACTGCCCCTAGGTTCAATTCTCACAAAACACAACATCCCCTTCCACTGCTACGCCGACGATGTACAGATCTATCTGCCACTCAATTCAAATGTCAACTCATTACAGCTATTGATGGACTGCTTAGCAGAGATCAAATCCTGGCTGAGCCAACATTTCCTCAACCTCAACGAGAGCAAGACTGAGGTTATCTTTTTTGGACCGCAACCTCCAGCCTCCCAGGTTGATATTCTGGGCTCCCTCAAAAATAATATCCCCCCCTCTGTCACGAACCTCGGAGTGACCTTCAATAGCGCTTTTAAATTCGATAAGCAGGTCAGCAGCGTAGTCAAAACCTGCTTTTTTTAAATACGACTATTGGCTAAGACCAAGTCGTTTTTATCTTTTAAAGACCTGGAAAGGGTTATAAACGCCTTTGTAACCACAAGGTTGGACTACTGCAACGCTCTGTACGTGGGTATGGACCAGGCGTCAATTAGACGCCTGTAGCTAGTGCAGAACACAGCTGCATGTCTACTCACTGGCCACAAAAAGCGTGACCACATCACCCCAATTCTGGCCTCACTGCACTGGCTTCCAATTCGGTTCCGAATTGATTTTAAACTCCTTTTATTTGTTTTTAAAGCACTAAATGGGCTGGCTCCGGCCTATATAGCTGAACTCCTCCAGCGCTACACCCCAGCCAGAGCTTTAAGGTCTGCTGACCAGCTGCTGCTGGTAGTGCCCAAGACCAGGCTCAAAACCAGAGGGCACCGAGCCTTCGCAGCAGCTGGCCCTAGGCTCTGGAACACTCTGCCCCTCCATGTGAGGTCGGCCCAGACCCTAGGGGTTTTTAAATCCACTCTTGAAACACACTTCTTCTCCCTGGCCTTTTAGTCAGAGCGGAGCACGACTCCTGACTTTTCCCTGTGTTTTTTATATATCTGTTGTAATTTATTGTCTTTTATTGTGATTGTAGTAATGTGTTTTTATGTGATTGTAAGTAGTATTACATATCCCGCTTCAATCTCATTAGTATGCATAAAAAAGTGACAGGTCACACCTTCTAAGTCCCGCCCCCTAATTATGTTAATGACCCCCCTTTGATATGCTAATGAGCCCTTTGTTCGAGGTGTTATCGCGTACAGGTGTGACATCCTCCCCGGTACCCCCCACCCCCCTCAGCCCACCCCCCCTCCCCCTCACATACAGGTGCTACATCCTCTCAGGTAGCCCCCCACCCCGCTCAGCCCCCACCCCTCTCAACCCCCTCCTCCTCCCCCCTCCTGTCCGGTCGGCATGTTCGTTACAGTTTAAATCTTCCGGGGCAGAATTAGAAAAGTGCCGGTTAAAGGTCTTCTATGTTATTTAATGAGCTTTGAAACAAACTGATATGATTCGATATTAAACCAACTAATTATAGTAGATTAATTAACTATTCAAAAACGTGTACAGTAATTTACAATAACACGGGAATAATAAACGGACTGCTCTCCCCCTCCTGACAACACGACAGTATCAAAGTCGCGGGTCCAATAATGAGTGACTCGACAGTAAAACTAAAACATATCTATAAATAGTTTAGGTAGTTTGAGAGGTAAATAAAATAGCTACGTGTGATATCTGAAGAGTGTGTTTTGTTCCGCTCACCGCATGCAGAGATGCATGTCGAATAGTCCGCAGCATCGGATCTCCCTCCGTCAGCAACAGCGGGTATCCCCCCGTCAGATTAGACTTTACTAGCGTTTATGTCCATGCGCAATCAGCCCATACAGGACATCTTTTGTCTGTCACACACTATTCTTGTATGTCACATAAGTGGTGTAGCTGATGCTGTATTGCGCTAAAGGGGATATCATTCTGAGAGATTTCCATCCGCACACACACACACACACACACACACACACACACACACACACACACACACACACACACACACACACACACACATACCCGTATTCCCCTCATACCCAGCCTTTTTTTAAATAAGAGTTGGGTTAATAACTAAGGAGGCTCTCATGAAGTGTACGGATGGTGAACTAATGTTTAATTACTATACTAACTATAAGGGCCTCTCTTATTGAAAGGAGGGGTAATCTGGTAATAAATGCAACAAAGTCTCTCTGAAGAGGTTGGCAATAAATTAAAGATCTTAATGACCCCATGGCGTTTGGTTTTTTCCTTATGTTTAATTACATCAATCCATTAATAAAATAATCCCTATATGGAGTTATATGAGATTAGAAATAGCTGTAGGTTTTGGAGGAAAGAGAAGATTTTCTACTTTTTAAATGTGCTCACCACAGATGTTAGCTGTAAAAAACACTTAAGAATGCACAGACCTGAAGGTGTGACCCGAAATGGCTCTTGCCATTTCCTCCCCCACCCCCTACCCACACACACACACACACACACACACACACACACACACACACACACACACACACACACACACACACACACACCCACACCACCACACACACACACACACACACACACACACACACACACACACACACACACACACACGCACACACGCAGTGTGAAATCGGGGGTGTCCCCCGACCCCGATAGAATCTTCCCTCCCCTCAGCAGTTCTGGGCGACCCCCAACACCACTGCAGTCTGAGAGCCAGGCATATTTTTGAGCTTCTCAGTGTGGTCGTAGAACAGCTCTGGATGACCCCATCCCAAACACCCTCCAAACGAGGTGCCAT